CCTCGGAAGGGTGGTCATGGGGGGTGACCTATGAATAGGGGGTGAAGAAAAAGGCCTTCAAGGGGCCGTGTAGGGCCACTTTGGCGCCCCTTTCGGAGCCAGCAGGGGCGCCAAAGTGGCCCTACAGGGCCCCTTGAAGGCCATTTTCTTCACCCCCCATTCATAGGTCACCCCCCATGACCACCCTTCCGAGGGTCGAGCATCGGGGCCATGGTCTCGGAGCACCTTCCAGAACGAACGTACGTCCAAGAACTTAGCTGAAGTTAAAGACGCTGTGTTTTTACATCCGTTTTCAACTGTTTGGCTCTCGGCCAACCAAGATGGAAAAAAAACGGCAGCCCCAAACAGAACAACAACGCAGTACGAAGCGGAGACCCTTCCAGACGATTGCTCGGCTGCTGCTCGGCCGGGCTCCCGCTGGTGTACACACCCAGGGCGAGCGGGGCGTTGACCGCCGTCGGCGCTCCCGGGACGGTTCTGGCTGGCCCTCTCGTCTGGGGCGGCCCCAGACGAGGCGGTGACCACACCGTGTGGGGATTTTTGTGGCTGTCGTTTTTCAGAGGAGGAAGAGGTACAGCCCGCACACGAAGGATGGGCAACCTTCCCAAGGGTACCCTCGCATCCTTGCCTCCCCAGTTCATCCTTGGCCACTTTCGTTGGCCGCGCCCCGCTCGAGAAGCTTCGAAATGAGCGTCCAAGGCTCTTGCATCCTTATCGCGCATTCTTATGATACGGGCCAGCTACACTCATACCGCTACTATAATTTTCCCCTTGTTGGGTCTCCTGGGAGGCCCTCGTCGCAACTGCTGGGTTCGCCTCGAGATTCTGGTCAGAGCGCAGCCCGGAGAGGTCGGGGGAGTAGCGGCATCGGTGCCTTTCGGCATCCCTAGTTTAGGTTTCCCAGACGGGGTCGGAGGGTCGGGCGGCATCGCTGATGCATCGGCCATGCGGCGTCCGATTCTCTCCACACCGACGGCGCCGATGCATCGCCGCCGACGCCGGTGCATCGCCGCTTCATGGGCGATGCATCGGCGATCCGGCGCGATCCTCCGTTCACATCTATTCTTGCGTCTTCGGCGTTCATGCACAGGGGGGGGTCTTGAACAAACATTGAAATAAGCTTTTGAGAAGCTTCAAAGTAGGCTTTCCAGACTCGCCTGCAGGGGGGGTAAAAGAAGTGGTCAGCATGGGTGCGTGTGTGAGAGACCGGCAGGTCATCTGGCGGGGATTGGGCGCGGTGGACGACGCGGGATGCGCGTCGTTGCGCTGGCGAGTGGCAAGTAGGAAGTTCGCGCGCTGGCGTCGCAGTAGCAAACAACCAGTTGTCAGTCCAATCCCAGAGGGCAAAATCCACTCACAACCAGTTGGCAACCTATCTCGATCGCAAAAGTCTTCTGGAACACCTACTTTGAAACTGATTTTTCCCTCAGAAAAAAACAGACCCGATCGCAAAGTTCAGTTGACCGGTCGCGTGGTGGATGCGTCCGATGGCAAACGTCACATGAGAGTCGGTTCAGTGATCGTCTCGTTCCACGTGTGGCGCGTTGTGAAGGGCGTCTTACTTCCTTCCGACGCCAGCACCCGATTACAGCTTGTTTGCAGGTCACGCCGTAACCCATCCTGAGCCTTTTTGTTAGCATGCTTCGTATATTCCTGACTCCTCTCTCTGTGCATTAAGTTCCAAGATGTAAATACTCTCTGACTCCATCTAGGAGGCCTCTATTCGAGGTTCGGCGGTAACCCGGGTTCCGGGCCCGTCCACTCCCCCCCACCCCTTCCTCCCCAGAAGCCCTGCCCTTGTCGGTCGTGCAGCCCCGAAGGGGATACGCAGTACTGGTGCGCGCGGCCATACATGGGGGTGCCCAAAGCGAAAAGGTCAGATCATGGCCCATACCCCACCCCTCCCTTGCGGATATCCTGGGTTATCGCCGAAGAGTGCAGAATGAGTTCGTGGTGAATCAGGGGTGGGTCCCCAGGGGCAGCCCTTCTCCCGGACTCATCTTCGATTGCCCCATGGCCCGAAAATGGCTCTGGATGCTGACATCGGGGTAGAAAGACGTCAATCGAAGAAGAAAAAACGCCATAAAGATAAACATGTGGCGCTCCGCGCGGATTTCTTGGATCCGCGCTGGGCCCCCCCGGCGGTGCCTCCAGCGCCGCCCCTGGCGCGCTCTGCGCGCCAGGGGGGGGGTCCAGCGCGGATCCAAGAAATCCGCGCGGAGCGCCAACAGTTTATGTTTATAGGATTCTTCATTATCCTAACAATGTTTCTGGATGCTGACATTGGGATAGAAAGACGTCAAGGCTGAGACAAACGCGCATCCTCGGAGATCTGGGTGCCTGTGCCCTCCTTGGAGCGTCGGGGGCCCCCAAGAATGGTGCGGTGAGGCCCCGGTTCTTCCCTCGGTCGCTTCAGGAGGGGAGAAACACACTGACACAATGAATCGTCGATTCCCAGGAACATATGGGAACATATGGGAAGTGGTGGGGAAGACAACAACGCAGAAAATGTTGGAAAATGTGGGGCATCCTGGGATCTGTGTGTATGTCTGTTTGTGTCCCTGGGCCCCTCGATCGTTGTCCCCCCCACCGTGGTGTCTTTGCCTGGCCCTCGCTCCGCTCGCCTTTTGGGCCCTCGCTCGGTCCCCGCCTGCCGCCGAGCGAAGCAGCGCAGGTCGAAGAAGAAACCAAAACACTCATAAGCACACGCTTTCGGCGCTCCGCGCGGATGTCTCGGATCCGAGCTGGGGGCCCCTTGCGGCGCCTCTGGCGCCACCCCTGACGCGCTCCGCGCGCCAGGGAAGGGGGCCCAGCGCAAATCCAAGACATCCGCGCGGAGCGTCGAAAGTTTGTGGTTGTGTGTTTTTGTTCTCTTCCTCTAGCAAGGGACTTTGCGCTTGATTCTAGCCCACGTCCAAAGCAAAACGTAACGGTGACTACACCTCACCGAGCGCATTCCACTACTCGCCAAGTGCTTGCTCGCAAACGTCTGCAAAACACGTGCGTGTGTGCTTTCATGCAACGTATTGCAAAACCCCCGCGGCGGATCCAGGCCATGTGCAAGTAGTGGAGCCTGCTTGTCTAACACCGTGTAGTGAGTCAGCGGAGCTTCGGGGTACACGCCCGCGTCGTTCTCCCGAGGCAGCGCGTGTCTTGGACGACTGGGGCATCCGAGGTCCCAGAGCGGTGCGGTGAAGGACCGTTCGATGAGTCAAGCAGTGGCGAGGCGTCTTCGCTTGCCTATGATCGGGGGAAATAAAACACGAGTGCGCCGGAACTCGGGTTCGCCTACGCTTTTCGAAGAGCCCGCCCTGAATTTTGGCGGTCCAGTTCTCGTGGGATATCTGCAGCGGGAGCCCGCTTCACATTCCAGATTGAGTCGTGCCATTTTCATGATGTCCCGGTCGTGCCAACACGAGTCTTCAAAGCCGAGTCTTACGTCTTCCCGATATAAGCCCAGCAAGGAATGTTCTGAGAACTTTGCGTGGCTTCCAAATCATGTTCGTAGACACATTCTGGACGGTACCGTCTGGTGTTCCTACGTCGGCTCGATGCTCCAAAAAACAGAGCGCTTGTTCTTAGACCATTATTTCTGTTGTGTGAGCATTTCCTGGTAGGCTTTTGGCGGACATGCCCTCCTACAGGCGGAGGTTCGAAGAGAAATTGAAAATAGATTTGTCCCCAGACTTGTTTGGACTATCTGTGAACATTCCTCCTGTAGAGTGACATGTCCGACTCAATGGTAGGCCTACAGGACTGCTGAGACGGTCGGTCCCTGCCCAAGTGAGGTCTTTGGGGTCCCCGAGGCCACCGCGCAGTCTGGCACCGCACTGTTTTGGACCCCGAGATCTCTGCAGGGACGGGTTGCCCGCACCGCTCCCGCCATCGGCGGGGCAGAAGACGGCCAGTGCTCGCCTCAACCGTGGCCTCCCCGCCGGCGAGAGGAGAGGAGAGCAGTTCCACCGTCGGATGCGGCATCGGAGCAGCCGGGCTTTGCGTGGAGGCTGTGGATGGCACCGTTGTGTTTTGTATTGTCGCGGGCAGCCCCGCTGAGCGAGCGAGGGGGGGAATGTATTGTCTTGTGTTGGTTTGTGTTGTCTTGTAGTGTCTTGTATTGTCGCGCGCACCCGTAGTCCCGCGGCGAGCGAGGGGGGGAAGTGAGAGGGAGAAGGCTTTCTCAGAAGGCGGCTGGGCTTCTCAGAAGCCATCGCGCCTTCTGCGAGGTGTTCTGTCTGTGTCTTCGGGGAAGGTTTGGAAAACACTTCTCAGAAGGCCGGGGGACTTCCGAGCCTTCTGAGGAGGCCCGCCCCTTCTCTCTTTCCCCCCCCCCGGCGCGCCGCCGAGTGGTGGAACCTCCTTTTGGTGCCCCCCCCGACACACCCCTTCTCTAGAGTCGCCCTCTTCTCTCACGTGGTGGTCTCTCTTTTTCCCCTCCTTCCTCCGCTCCTGCTCTCCAACCCTCCCCCTCCTCTCCTCAGAGGCTGGCAGCATTCGGTAGGGGAACAACACACAGACACACATAATCGTCGATCCCCAGAAGCTATGAGAACATATGGGAAGTGGGCGGGAAGACGGAACTCCAAAATGTAGGGAACATATGGGGGGATCCTGGGAATTGCGTCTTTGTGTATGTGTATGTATATAGATATGTGTGTATATGTGTGTGTCCCTGGGCCCCATCACACATATGTGCACGTGCGCGGTCAGCTTCCGCCAGTTTGCGCGCGAGCGTGGCCCTTCGTGCACGCGGGGCGGCGGATGGCGTATACGTGTGCGTATCCCTGTGCTCGCTCTCCTCCTTCGTCTCCTCCCTTCTCTCCCCCATCCTCCGCCGCCCCCCGTCCTCCTCTTCCCTCCCTCCGCCTTCTTCCTGCTCACGGCCCGCCTTCCTGAAGACAAATGGTAAATAGTATCGAAAAGTGATACCGAAGACTGGCGCGCTATCTGGAAGCGCAGAGTGTGGAAGTGCACGCACAGAGCCGCGAGCCTTGATACCAAACGGTGGGCGTGGAAATCTACAGCCTGGCACGCGGAGTTCGATCCGAAGGCGAAGGGGCACCCGCAGCACCGACCAAAGAAACGGTGGGCTGATGACGTGATGGATTTTCTCAGAGCTAAAGGACACGATATCTCAGCTGAAGACTGGCATACGTTTGCGCGTGGCGCCGACAACCGGCACGCTCTGGAGAACGACTCCGTCGCTTTCTGAGGGCTGAGGCCCAACCACCCATCCCGTCGGGGACGCGCTCGGGCGCGACTGCGGTGTCTGTCTGTCTGTCTGGCCCGCCTTCCTGGTGGTCCGATGCCGAAGACATGGTGCCACTGAGAGAGCCGACGCCCACAGCGTCTGCGGGCTGCCTGCCTGCCGTGGTCGCCAGGAGGAGGGCGACGACCCGGGGCAGAGCAGGGGCAGAGCAGCGGGGGGGGATAGCCTCAGGGGGGGAGGCATCGACCCCCCCATCGCCCATGGATCGCCGGTAGGGGCCCGAGAGCCCTTTCCCGCCCAGGAGCACATGGATTCGCTATCGGGGGCACATCGCCGATCTATCTGCGATGTATCGCCGATTCAAGCTCGAATTTTCCCCTCTTAATGGGTCTCCCCCTAAGGTTTTCCATCACGGGGCCGGAGAGGCGGGGAGGAAGAGGCAGGCAAAAAGGAGAGAGGGATATGAGGAGGAGGAGGAGGAGGAGGAGGAGGAGGAGGAGGACGGGCGGAGAGGAACCGAGTAGGATGAGGAGGAGGAGGTGGAAATTCTGGGAAAGGAGTGGCAGGTGAGGCGCGGGATTTAGGGGGGCCATTTTCGGCTGAGGGGAGCCATGGGGCTAAAGCGATCACACCGCCTTGCTGTAGATTCCCGGGGTGCGAGCAGGAAAGGAAGTTTGCACCAGGAAGATCCGCAGGGACAGGCAGAAGGGCCGCTTTCTTCTGCAGTCTGCCTGCGGGAGTCTTCTCGTTGTGGGGCCAGGAACACGTCCACTATGTCACTATGCTATGTTGTGTTTGTCCTCCTTCTGGTGGCAAATATCGGCCCGAAAGTCTAACACCATATGTACGCTGTCCTGTAGATGTTCTGCGAAGCACCATGGGAGAGGTCCCAGAGACCTTCGGGAATATACGCGCGGCTCCCATGATTCCTTTCTCTGTCTCTGTCTCTGTCTCTCTTTTTTTTCTTTCTCTCTCTCTCTCTCTCTCTCTCTTTCTCTCGACGACGACCTCATCCAGAGTGTATGCATTTTTCCGCACTGCACCGTGCCTTGTTCTTCGTCGCCGTTGTCGCTCTACCACCTTCCCTTCCTCCTCCTCCGCGAGCACTCCCGCTCACGAATCGCACAGGCACTGAAAGTGCACCCTGGGCTCCAGCCCGACCTCCGTGCTCTCGTAGGGCCGTTCTCCTGGACGTGTGTCGCACCTGTCAGCGACTCGCAGAGGGCATTGTCCATAGATGTATGGCCAGCGCCTTCTAAGAAGCAGCCTTCTTCTGAGAAGCCTCGCCCCCCCCTCTCCTACCCGCCTTTTTCGGCTGCGAGCCCGGGAGGGAAGTGAGAAGTGGCGGGCCTGCTCAGATCGACTACACGTAAGAGTGACCCTTCGCCGGAGTGACCTTTGGTGCTGGCCCAAAGTGGGTCGGGTGATTTTTCTTGCGGAAAGAGCTCGATCCCGCGTCGGCACACGTCCGAGAGGTTCTGACAGAACGAGCGGAAGTGCCCCGCCTTCTGAGAAGTTTTACAATCCTTTCCCGAGGACGCAGGAAACTTCTCGAAAGGCCAGAGGTCTTCTAAGAAGCCCCGCCGCCTTCCGAGAAGTCCTTCTCCTTCTCCTTCTCACTCCCCCCCTCGCTCGCCGCCGACTTTTGCGCGCCGACAAACCCGGCCTCGTCTCTCGACGACCGCGACAACGATGCCGACGACCCCGCAGTCGTTGTGTCTCGGGTGTGGTTGATCTGGCGCCTCTGGAGGTTCTGTTTGTCGCCACGGCTTGCCGCGGCCCGAAGGACTGGCCAGGATGGAGCTTGGGAAGCGTCCAGGGATAAATCTTGAGCTGCTGTTCAGGGACCCCTGAACAGGGACTTTCTCCTTGTCCTCCTCCTCCTCCTCCCTGTCCTCCTGTCCTCCTCCTCATCCGTCTCCTCCTCCGCCTCCTCCTCTGGATGCCAGGACCGGGTGCTGGATGCGTTATCGTTTCACCCGAAAAAAGGGGTTTCTTAATTGCTTCATGAGGCCAAGCAAGGACATTGGCGCGCCCGAGAAAAATGCAGCAGCGATTGGGAACATTATCCATTTTATCTGGAGTGTCCAGGAAATCCTTGTTCATAATGCGCTGGCTCTGAAAATCCTGGTTCACAATGTCCCTGCCAGGACGACGACGGCGGCGGCGGCGAAACCGGCGGCGGCGGCGATGACTGTGGCGGCGACGACCTGGGGGGGGATAGCTGCTGGCCAATTTGCCGCCAGGTGGGGTCGCTGCCGGGGTCGTCGCCGCAGCTCTCCAGTCCCTTCCAGGCGGCTCTCCTCCGCGTCCTTCTCCGTCCACTCTCCTCCGTTAGGGGCAACGTTAATTAGGTGGGGGTAGGTTCAGAAGGGGGGACTTGTCGACCCCGAACCGCCCACTGATTGCTGCCAGGGGCCCGAGAGCCCTTTCCCGCCCAGAGTCTATATATATATATATATATATACATACATACATACACAGATATACACACACCTATCCGACAACCCTTCGGGTGATAAGGAGATTGTGGGGGGGCAGAGGGAGGGAACCAACATCTGACTCAATCGATCTCATTATCGATCTCACTCAACAGGGCACCATAAAACACAACGGGATACCTGCCAATCTTTATCGGTCTCACTATCGATCTCACTATCGATCTCACTCAACGGGACACCATAGGACACCACGGGACACCTCGGGACACCACATCGATCTCACTATCGATGTCACCCAACGGGACACCACGGAATACCACGGGGCACCTGTCGATCTCACCATCGATCTCACTATCGATCTCATTTTTTGGGACACCACGGGAAATCACGGGGCACCACATCGACCTCAGTATCGGTCTCACTATCGATCTAACTATCGATCTCACTCAACGGGACACCACGGGACACTTGTCGATCTCACTATCGATCTCACTATCGATCTCACTCAACGGGACACCACGGGACACCTCGGGGCACCACATCGATCTCACTCTCGATCTCACTATCGATCCCACTATCGATTTCACTCTCTGGGACTCCACGGGACACCACGGGACACTTGTCGATCTCACTACCGATCTCATTATCGATCTCACTCAACAGGACACCACGGGACACCACGGGCCACCACGGGACACCGCGGGACACCTCTCGATCTTTATCGGTCTCACTATCGATCTCGCTATCGATCTCACTCAACGGGACACCATAGGACACCATGCGACACCACAGGACACCTCGGGGCACCACGTCGATCTCACGATCGATCCCACTATCGATCTCATTACCGGACTCACTCAACGGGACACCACGGGACACTTGTCGATCTCACTGTCGATCTCACTTGTTGGGATACCACTGGACACCACGGGACACCTCGGGGCACCGCATCGATTTCAGTATTGGTATCATTATCGATTTCACAATCGAAATTTCCCAACGGGGCACCACGGGACACTTGTCGATCTCACCATCCATCTCACATTCGTTCTCACTTTTGGGACGCCACGGGACACAACGGGACACCTCGAGACACCACATCGATCTCCCTATCGATTTCACTATTGATCTCATTATCGATCTCACTATCGATTTCACTTTCTGGGACACCACGGGACACTTGTCGATCTCACTATCGACGTTACTATCGATCTCACTCAACGGGATACCACGGGACACCACGGGCGACCATGGGACACCACGGGACACCGCGGGACACCTCTCTCGGTCACACTACCGATCTCGCTATCGATTTCATTAAACGGGGCACCATAAGACACCACGGGACACCACAGGACACCACATCGATCTCACTATCGATCTCACTATTAATCTCGTTATCGACCCCACTCAACGGAACACCACGGAACACCATGGGACACCACAGGACACCTGTCGATCTCCCTATCGATCTCACTATCGATCTCATTTTTTGGAACACCACGGGCCACATCGATCTCAGTATCGGTCTCACTATCGATCTCACTATCGATCTCACTCAACGGGACACCACGGGACACGACGGGACACTTGTCGATCTCACTACCGATCTCACTATCGATTTCACTTTTTTAGACACCACCGGACACCTCGGGGCACCACATTGGTCCCAGTGTCGATCCCACGATCGATCTCACATTCGATCTCACGATCGATATCACTATCGATCTCATTCAACGGGACACCACGGGACACCGCGAGCCACCGCCGGACGGACGGACGGACGGGCGGGCGGGGGAAAATCATTTGTTTTGACTTCGCCCTAGCAACGGCGGACATCACGGGACACCACGGGACACCGCGAGCCACCGCCGGACGGGCGGGCGGAGGAAAATCATTTGTCTTGTATTCGCCCTAGCAGCGGCGGGTTCATTCCTCTCGCGCGCCCACGCAGCTTCGCCTCGCCCGCACGCACGACACGAACGAAACGATTTCCCTGTTAGTGGTCTCCGTTCCATTGCGATCTTGCCCCCAAACCTCCGATATATCGGCGATGTATCATTGATTCCAGGTGGACGTGTCCCCCCCCTGAGCCGCTCCCCCCCTCATTCTCCCAGGGCCAAGCAGTGGCGAAGCGTCCTGGCTCGACGACAGGCTTACCAAATAATGTCCTAAGAAGCTACTGTGGTCTGCGCGAAATGTTCTTGGAACGTTTCTGGTTGATACTGTCTTGTTTGAACATATCGGGCGTACGTTCTAAGAAGATTGTTATGGTTGTTCGAACATTCTTGGGTTCTAAGGACATGTCGTGGTAGGCCTATTGGGATGCCCTGACGGTTGGTCCCTGCTCAACAGAGGGGATTGGCAAGCGGGGGAGGAGGATCGAGGATCGAGGCTTTTCCCCACCAGCTGGGGCCGTCAGAGTTTGCGGCCAGGCCCGCCCACCCTGCATACCGCGGCCGCCAAGCCCAAAGAGTCCCTGGCGATCCTTGAACATCCCGCCTCGCGAGCCTTGCACATTTTGGCTACCAGGCCTATTGAAATCAACCGAGGGTTCGTAAGCATGCCGCCCCATCGAACCCTGTCGTGGAGGCGCCACGCCGTCCAGGCGTCACGACATCGCGCCGCACACAGACATCTAGAACACGCGTCGAGAGTATACGTCCGTAACACACAACGCACAGCAAGGGCAGCCATCAAGACCATGTATTGCAGCCACGAGCATCAGTTGTCAATAGCAGACATACGGCAGAGGCGCAAGTCGCGAAACTTTTCTGTACGAAATGGGCACATCTCAAACATACATGGCGGACACCAAGAGCAGGCATACACAACAGGCCTACATAACATGCATCAGTAGCACGCACCAGAGCCAATGACCGACATCAGCCACGAAGGGGACCCATCAGCAACACGCATCACCCACATACGCCAATGACATGTGCTTCACCGCAATAGTGTGCACCACAATCGTACACTAAGACCCTACGCAACACGGGCATATATAAATCACAACATTGAGCAACACTTGTGAATGGCAGCAACCAGCGCAGTTCACCTCTGGCAGGCGTTAGCCTTTCATTCAGCACAAGTATTTGTGACTTGTGCCAATCACATACAAACGCATCACGTATTCTTACTTCGCGTCCATGACATAGACGAGGACCAAACGTCACGATAAACAATCAAGACACTACTTCAAAGACACACGCCACTTACATCAATTAGCGTTTCGCATGTACGTGTGTGTATCATTTGCACGCATCAGTACCAGGCATGATTTGTCGCACACAAGTAACCACTTGAACGTCCATCGCATGCTGCAAATTGGGGTACCAATAACGAACACCACGGGCGTGCACAAGAGACATACAGCAAGGTGTATGCCCAGAACACGCATCAGGACCAGGCATCTCCACCGTATGCCAATTCCGATCCATCTTGAACAAGCCGGATGGACACATACACACACACACACTCGCACCCATCACACATGTGCATATATGTACGTATTCAACAGAACACGCTACCCAGCCACGCGTCGCAGCAGGAACAGCACACTTTCACCAGTAGCACATCAATTGCATACGGCAATGGCCCGTGGCAGGGACACTCGACCGTCAGGAAGCAATCATGCACACAAGCAGTCTACATCTAAAGCGCGCACCTAGCAGGCATCCTTGGATACCGTTGACATGCGTCAGCGGCACGCACAGCGAGATGGCACACCAAGAATGCACATCAGTTGTAGACGGGCATTATACACATTATACAGAACACCAACGCGTGTCATTTCCATGCAGAAGGAGATGTACAACGGCATTAAGTCCGTATTCGTCGCATGGCATTGTATCATAACTACACAAACATCAGTGACGCACGTCAGTTCCATACATATTGCTGTCTCGATTATGGCGATTTGTCGAGGGACGACAATCGCGAGCCCCGCACGGGTGGGAATGACATTTCCGAAACAATTGCGAGGCGATGCTGCGGGAGTATCACCTTGCATTTTTCCGATCGGCCGAATTCTCCATGAGCGCGGCGAACACGAAACACACGCCGCGCCAGAAAAGCATTGTCAATTCCCCTCTCAAGCTGCGCGGCGCGTGGGCGAGGACAGCATTTCGCCCGCGCACGCGTGGCCCCGCTGCCGCCGCCGCCGTCTTGCGTCTGGCAGGCGAAACGTGCGACGCGCCCGAGCGGATCGCCACGTCCAGGTGGAAGGCTGCACGGCGCCTGGGCGAGGCCACTCGCGCGCGGTCTTGCCCCCGATGACTTGGCGAGTGACACATATGCGCCGCGTGGAGGCCGGAGCGTCGCTTTCAGGGGATATTTGTGTGGTGAGAGGCGGGTGATATTTTCGTCCGCGCGCGGCCCCGCTACAGAAACATTGGCAAGCGAAAGTGGTGCGCCGCGCTCAAGAAGGTGGTGCAACCCTCATGGAACAATGAGCGCCCAGGCGAGGGCGACATTCCGTTCTTTCGCAAAGTCTTGCGCCCCGTCCGTTTCTTGCTGCGCATTGTGCAACGCTGGCGCCAAACCGTCAACGCCGACAGTCAATTCGTCGAGTTGCATTGCTCTGGGCGGTGTTGGTGGGAGGCTCCTGGGGATCGAACGACTGTCGGCCAGCTAAATAGCAGAGTGGAAGTATAGGTTAGTCAGGGACCAGGGTGACAGCAGGAGTTGCGCAGAGCAGGGCAGAGCAGACATTGTGGAGAAGACGGCAGTAGAGCAAAACACCGTAGAGCTGAGTAAACCAGAGTATTGTGGAGTCCATCGGAGTAGGGCCAGGAGAAGCAACGCAGAGAAAGGTAAAGCATTTGTGGAACCGGATAGAGGGTAGAGCGACG